GCTCTGTCTTTACATTTATTTTGAAAGATGAAGCTGCGATTATGGTAAGGGGCGTTACATTTCCGACGAGTGCTTGCGGTGTTCGGCCAATCACAATGCACTGGGTCAGCTGGCCAATCAGAGCAGACTGCGCTTGTCGGAAGGAGGGACTTTGTAGAAAACGAAGCGAAGATTTGCATTTTGATGGCCCAAGCGCCAGTCTGTCACTTTAAGACAATATATTGACACACATCGGATTTTCTCCCAACCGTTCTCCTCCACTTAAGACATAAACTGTGTTTAAGTAAATACTCTCCAATTTGATCGTTTGGCCATGCGCCCAAAGCTCAAAGTGTAATTTGTTTGTCCGTTTTGGAGCGCGCCGCGAATACGAAACGCAGCTAGTTTTTAATAGCTTTACCTCATGTCTTCTTTTGTATAATCCTTAAAAGCCAAAATCGAAATTAAAAAAATAAAATTAGCTTAAATAAAAGAGCCACAGGACTAAAGTGTAAGCAGATGTTTGAATGTTTAGTTCTCTGCTATCATAATTAAACAGGGCTTTCGTGTTGCGCGTGCTGAAGCTCCTCTGCGTGAGCGCGATCTCGCTTCTGATTTGCGAATAGCAAAAATGCATCATAGACAAATGTTTGAAAAACAGCTGGCGACTCTGGTGAGATAAAATTTGCAATATAATGTATATATAGCAATAATAAATGTATGTGTGTTTTATTAATTTCTCCAGTACAGATAGCAGAACCATTAACGTCAGAGCTTATCAATACTCCAGTCTTTCATAATTTAGCCCCGGTACCGATTAAATACTGAGTTTCGGTACCCATCCCTATTTAAGACCATTGTGACAAAATGTTCAAACTGCTGAGTTTGCTGGGTTCAGATGGAGTAACCCTGAGAAAACTAGACAAAAATAAAAAAAAAGGTTGAAACCAATAATGAAGTTATGTACAATGTGTATAATTAAGCAAGGAAAGCATAGTAATCTTCAGTGTTGGGGGTAACGCATTACATGTAATGCGAGTTACGTAATCAGATTACTTTTTAATTTACAAGAAAATATCTTTGTTACTTTTTCAAATAAGTAACGCCAGTTACTTTCCTTCCCATTTATTGATTGAAAGCTCTCCAGTCCCCATGTTGTGAGAAATCGGGAGTAAGATGTTACTGTAGTTCTAGAATAAATATGAACATGCATTAAAAAGATTTAGTTTTCCTCAAAATTAATAAAAACATTTAAAAGCAACTCAGAATATGACTCAAAGCTGCAATAATTAAATAAGTTAAATAATACAAATATCCTTTTTGTATTTAAGCCCAATTTATTAACCAATTTGCTGCTGACCTTTGATGATCCAATTCAACCATACTATTAAGCAAAAGTTACACAAGATAAACTAACATTTCTTCTTCTTTTTTATTGCTGAAGAGTGAATTTTCCTTCAGCCTGAGGCTTTTGGTGTGAAAGGGCTTTTACATTTGCCAAAAATATAACTTTTTATATTAAAAGCAAACAAGCAAGCCCAGCCCAGATTTAAAAAGTAACGCAAAAGTAACGTGACGCATTACTTTCAATAACAAGTAATTAAGTAATGTAATTAGTTTTTTTTTTTTGTAACTTTAAGTAACTTTCCCCAACACTGGTAATATTTCTACTTGTTTTCATCACTTCACATTTTTAAACTCTTCAAGTCGAAGTTGAAATTTTGTTAAAAAATAAAAACGACATATAAATACAAAGATTGCGTTAATAAGAGTTGGCATATTTTTCAAAGATCTCAGACATCCTTGTTGGTTTTTGCCTCACATTCATTGCTCATCTTGCTCTGTGTAACAGCACACCAGTGCAGGTGCTGAGGGCTCAGGTCAGGCTCTTGCCTCTCCCGGTTCCTGTCTGGAGGAGTTCCGCTCGTCTCCGTTCATCGAGTGCCACGGTCGAGGCACCTGCAATTATTACAGCAACTCGTACAGCTTCTGGCTGGCCACTGTGGATGTGAATGAAATGTTCAGGTAATATTTCATTCAAAACAACAATCCTCGAAAATATTCTTGGCAACTTTCTTGAAAAACTGTGCAAATGTCACACTGTCTTAAAGTAAAAAGATGTCTATCAGAGTATTTTTTTCTCTCTGCCCATACAGAAAGCCGCAGTCAGAGACACTAAAAGCTGGAAACTTGGAGACCCGTGTGAGCCGCTGTATTGTGTGTATGAAGAGGACGTAACCTAGTGACATTTTTGCAGTCTGTTGTTGTTGTTGTTGGGGATCAGCCATCACTTGCAACGACTGCGGCCATCATGCTGATTACCAGTGAAGTTCCATTGGTGCAGTATCTTCACATTTAACTCTATGGTGCTACTGTGCAACACAGCAAAAGAAACTGAACAAAATAAATGAATTATTAGTCTTTTTTTATTTTTTAAAGAAGTACCTCAAAAGAAACATGCAGATCCAGCAAGGTGCCATGGCAGTTGTGACACAATGTGCATTAGATTTTTTCTCTAGAGATCCTTTTCATGTAATATTTTCCTACAAGAATTTTAATGTTGGTACACACATTTTTTGGGGGAGAAGTGCTCTCTGACTTTTTTCCTTTTTTTCTCTCGAGTGGAATTGTCTCCATGTTACCAAATCGGCACTTTGAACATCAAAGAGATGAAATGCACTGAAGCGTTACATTAATGGGACTGCTTTTTTAAGGCTATAATTTTTTCCCCCCAATCACTTTTTCTTCTTTATTGGTGGTACTAACACTGCTGTATCAGGACTTTTTAGCAATGTGTCATTTATCTCTTTGTAAGTAATAAAATGTGTATATTGTGTAAAACACCTTTTTAGCGTAAAACAAAACAGAGCTTTTTAATGAATTTATGGGACCTTTGTTTTATTCACATATTAGTTCCACATTCATTTACAACATTTGTACAAAGAACTTTCTTTAAATGAAACAGTATTATATATATATATATATATATATATATATATATATATATATATATATATATATATATATATTAAAAA